TTTCCAATGTCTTTGTCCGAGATGAAATTACAAATAGTTATTGTACTTGATTTCTTCATGAATGCACTGGTTCTCAATAGGCGCGGTTAAAAAAAAATCACGTAATTTTATGCATAAACGCCTTCGGCGTTTATGCAAATTATCACGCATTCCAATCAATTGATCACATCATGAAATCGAAAAATAAGACAGTTATTCCTTAAGTAAATAGGGAAGTGAGCTCATTGAGGCAGACTTACCTTCATGAGAATATGCCAGACTACGTGTTTGTGCTAAGAACTTTATACAAAATTTACACAGTCGTCTGCATTAGCATGTTTATAATTTAGGCATCTTGAGTCAATTATTGAAATCTAAGCATGAATGTCATTTTAACCAAAAAAAAATATTTGCTTTTGAAATTACGCAGAACATGTTAGAATTTTCCATTCTTCCATTGATAAAAGCGAAACGCACATACCAGGGAAATAGTTTTGCAGATATGACTATCATTGATAAAATGAAACATATGGAGATAACGAACAGTATTCATGATCAAAAAGTTCATAAAACAATATAAAATAGGAGCAGAGCAAACACGGACCTCCAAAACATTAGAGTTGAGATCAGGTGCTGCGGAGGAGTGAGAATCACCCTGCTGACCGGTCAAACCCGCCGTCTGCTCTTTGTCATGATCGATAAATAACGAAAAATCCGTCGTCAATTCAGTGAATAAAAATGGATTAACAATTTGTATGAAAAATGTCAGTCAGCATTTGACTAAATGATAAATTGTATTTGCTGACAAGGTCATTTATCGACCATAGAATTTACGCAATGATGACTTTAAAAGAGACTGCTGAAATTCTTGTTTCATCAACTTATTTGTCAATAATTTATCTCGTTTTAGAAATTGTTCATACGTAGAGCATGCATTTGCGTATCGAATCAACTGAGATATATAAACTCCGTATGCAGGTGATGAAGGTATATTGCTGCATATATAAGGGAAGTTGACGATATATAGAAAAATTAAAATCACGTTTATCATAGAGCTTGGTTATTAGATTACCATTAACGTCTTTTTCAAGTAAAATATCCAAATATGATTGAAACAGATGTTTCAGACTCTGTGGTATCTTTTATCTCAAGCTAACCAGGATGTATCGTATCGACATAAGAATGGAAATTACCATTGTTATTTGACAATGTGATAAAACATTGGGGTTCATAATCTCCATATTTTATTTAAATCGTTCTTATTCAAACTTTGCTCCTTTTTAAAACTTTTGAAAACTTGGGGTTTTTTTTTTCTTCGTAAAAATATAAAACTCCCATAACATGTAACATATCCATTAGAACGAATTTGAAAAAATTACATTGTTTTTGTTTTCTTTATTTTCGAGTCATTGACTCTCGAAACCGCATGATAATTTGACATTGGCCCTTTGAAGATTGTACCAATATAAGTCAAGATCTACATTTATATAAAATAAACAGCTATTGAACTTATATTAAAATTTCTACATGACTTTGTTGTTGCTGGTTTTGGCGTTGAATGTATTGCCAATTTTTATATGTGCCTGTAGATAATATGTATTTTTCATATTGATCAAAATCCTTTATTCATATTGAACAAAATCCTTTATTATAATATTCAAAAAGATATTGGGATCAAATCTAATAGATGATATTACAAAGAAAATATTGTGAATTAAATATTGTTTCAATCATTGTCACCCGAATGACTACGACTTACTTCGTGTTTATAAAATAATAAAGAAACATAAAATGAAATTTTTTTCTGTCGGTAGACTAGTACTTAATGGAACTATTTAATTAGAATAACTTTAACAATTAAACTTTTCATATAATGATATTATTCACTTTTGCCTTTGCATCGTTAAAACTACTATCTTAAAGGACGACTTTGTTTGCACGAGTATTTGTATTATTATTGTATAACTTGCTACTGTAAGAGATACCAATTCGGATACTTTCAAGCCAATATTGATAATTAAGTGCATGATAAAGGATACGATCCTTCGCCTCTCTATTTCTTCATTCTATCTTCTCCTCGACTATGCTGAACCCACTACCCCGTGGGGAATTAAATAATGTTTAATCATCATCTTGTAAATTAGCTTATTAATTATTATATTTGGTTTTACCCGGTAGCTGCGGGTCTTTCTCAGTATATTGATATTTTTCGTACCATTCATAGGAAAATGAACAAAAATTCATTTATTTTATTTCCATGACTTCATTTGCATCTCATAAATAATAATAATAATAATAATCTTCAGCGAGGTCAACTACAAATGTGCATAGCTGTTTTCATAAATAATTTGTCAGAAATTGTTAATTTTCAAACCATTAAAATAATTATTATTTTATGCTTATTAACTTGCATGTAATAAAATGAACTTACTGGAGGCGGAGGAAGACATTAGAGTTTCTCTAGTGAAAATGGAATGTAGAAATTAAACTATTCTTATACAAAAAAATGTTTAAAAAACCGAAAACGTGCAAAAATTTACAAATAGAATGAAGGGCTTATCCAGAGAGCCCATGCGTTAATCCTGTGCAAATTGGACACACGTTATTCACTCAGGTTTACTTGTTTTAACTAAAACTGGATACTTAGAAAGAACGTCAACTTTTCCTTTGAATTATTAATGATATTCTATTTATGTCTCATTAATGTAATTTTAACTGTCATATAAAATCATTAAATATCTGAAGTAATGATGTTACAGTTATGATTGAATGTGATTTATTTCAACAAATTTCATAAAAACAGATAACCCCATTGTTAGCTCAGTCAGGGCTATTGACGATTTAGCGGAAATTGATTAATTATATAGAAAATCATGTAAACTTTCTGACAACCGAATAATGTAGATATTGTCTAATTTAAATAATATGTTCATGTGTTTTATTCATCATTTTGTGGTATTTGTTTTACTATTGTCGCGCATCTAATTTTTTTTTTACATCTTACAAAAGATCTGGGAAAATATGACGTATTTTCATTGATTAGTTTTTACGTGTAAACATAATCTAGTTTTATTACGAAACAATATTCTTAAGAATAAAATAAATTTAGGTGTGAATTAGGCCTCTGATGCTCAGGTATTCTTTGGATTTTTTCACATCTATAAACTCAAACACAATCAGTTGATGTGTTGATAGCTTTTGTTTATGAAACTTTGACAGAAATGGTTAATTTCAAGAAAATAAAAGGTTTTAAAAATGTTTATAGATTCTTTATCTCATATCCAAAAATGAAAAGAAGGTAGGATGTGGAGATAACGAACAATATTCAATCTCAAAGTCCATAAAACACTACAAAACAGAAGCAGAGCAAACACGGACCTCCAAAACATCAGAGGTGGGATCAGGTGCCATGGAGGAGTGAGCTTCCCCTGCTGACCGGTCACACCCGCAGTGTGCTCCTTGTCGTGATCAGGAAATAACGGAAAAATCCTTCGTCAATTCAGTGTATAAATAATGAAATAACAATTGGTATGAAAAACGTCAGTCAGCATTTGATTCAAAGATAAACTGTATTTGCTGACACGGTCATTGTATCGACCATAGAACTTACGAAATGATGACTTTAAACGAGACTGCTGATATTCTTGTTTCATCAACTTGCTTGCCAATAATTTACCTCGTTCCGGTAATTAATAGTAAAATAAAAAATGACAAGGCAATAATGTTAGTAAAACGTAAGCGATTTCATTACTTCTTCAAACGTTTTACATTACAAAACAATTCAAACATGTGACGTTATAACGTCACCTGATGATAACGTCAACAATGCAATGACATCACAATGCTAATAGAGGAAACAATTATAGAGTTTAAGAAAAAATAACATTATTCATATATATAGATAAATATATTTCTTTTTTATTTTTTATTTTTATTTTAAAAAATCTTACCTGAGTAATACAGCTATCATGTTTTTTTTTCGCATTTTAAGGTTATGAAAATATCGTAGAAAAATAATTCAATATCAATACATTTCATTCCTAGAATATTATCGCAAAATAATGATTTATTTTCAAACAGCATCGTTGTTCCTCTCTATAGTAAAAAGAAAGCGGAATTAAAACTTTTTCTGCTGTATTTTAAAAGTATTTCGAAACAAGAACAGATTTATGGTTTAAATAATGCAATTTGTTCCCATGTTGAACAATATTGATTCATATCGCCAGATTATTCCCAAGATTTAGGGGATCTTGATTATTTTATATTAAAATTCCAAATGTATGTCATTAAAAAGTTAATGAATGGAAGGCAAATAATTATGTTATTGAGTTACTTTTTAGAAATGCTTTGTATAACTAGCTGCAGATCTGTAACTCGCTGGTCTGAAACAATTTGGATGAACGACTGTCTTTAAATTTTCTTTTTCGGTAAGCTATAGTTCTGCATCTATATTGGGACTAGTATATAATTGAAATCAACATTTCGAGAGAAAAAATTTGAATAAGATCAAGTTGCATTCACTTGAACAGTGAACTGTAAATAAATATATAATATTTAATATCAACAAATGTGTTATCTATATGTATACATGTGCTTTTTTATTTTTTATAAATGTAATCCTGAAATTATTGAAACTTTTAGAACACTGTGCTCTCTCTCTCTCTCTCTCTCTCTCTCTCTCTCTCTCTCTCTCATTTCAATTATTTCATAACTTGAAGAACATTAAACAAAGCAATTCGGCGTGAAGAATTAATTAGGAATCATTACCACGCGAATCGTGAATATATCCCCTTTAAACAGCTAAAAATGCATGTGGTTAAAAATAATCAAAATTCCAACAGTGAACTATGTCACAAAATATATTTCCCTTAAACCATATATTAATCTAGACACGATGCGTGATCGTTTCAAATTATCATAATATCCATAAATTAACAATACATAGATAATGTTAGTGCGACATGAATAGACGACTGTTAATTAGCATAAATTTAATTTTCTTGTTATATAAAGAGGCACGTTTGCGAATCCCAGCCATCCACAATTTCGTTTTCGGATCTGTAACTTTGACAGAATTGGAATTCTCCTATCATGAAGGGATTAGCCATTCTTTTATTTTGTGCCCTCGTGGCTGTTAGCGTTACACGTAAGTCTTTCATAAAGTAGAATTTAAAAAAAAATAAATCTATTAAAACTTCTCAAGCAAATTTAATTACTAATTGATCATTTTTTTAATATTCGTGTTTTATTTTTGATAATTGTGCAAAACTGATGATATGAATATAATTAATTATCTCAAGGAAATAAAATGATATATGCAATCAAATTTCATCAAGAGAAAAAGATCATTTCTATACAGCAGTACAAGAAAATTTGTCACTTAAAGCATCAGCTAGAAAAATTTCATTGTTCATCGTTCTAATATTTAAAATAGCATAAAATAACGCTTTTGAAAAATCAGTTCAGCTCAAAATAGGCGATTTTATTTAAGACTTTTAATTTTTTTTATTCAGATGCGATTTAAACAAAATGATTTTTAAAAAAAAAAAAAACACACACACACACAGAACAATGCTTTATAATATTCAAGAAAATGTTAAATGTAACGTTGTTTATCAAACAATCGCCAACAAATAAAGCAATTGCAAGAAGGTAGTATTGTACCTTTAATTTCCACTATTTTGGCTGTACAGATTTTTCATTACATATTAGTCAGGTATGTTAGAGAAAAAAAAAATAATAAATAGGATTCTTTCATAATTCTATTTATATATATTGGTCATTACATATAGTTCCGGTACCCGGCCCAGAGGAATACGATGCTGACCAAGACGTTGACAATCAGGATGAATTTGATGTAGAAGAGGAAGACAACAACGAGGAGGAAGGAGATGGTGATGGCGACGAAGAAGATGAGGACGAGGACGAAGATGAAGATGATGACGACGATGATGATAGAGATGACGAGAGTGATGAAGACGATGAAGATGATGATGAAGATGATGATGAAGACGACGATAGTGATGATGATGGAGAGGATGGTGGGGATGATGACAGCGACGACAGCGATTACAGTGATGACAGTGATTACAGTGATGACAGTGACGACAGCGACGACAGCGATGACAACGATGATGACAGTGACGACGATGACGATAGCGACGATTATAGTGAATCTTACAGTTATTCAAGCGATGACGATGATGAAAGTGATGATGACAGCGAGTATGATGATGATGATGATGATGATGATGACGATAGTGATGATGATGATTACAGTGATGATGATGATGACGGTAGTTATGATGATGATGATGATGATGATGACAGCGATGATGATGACGATGATGATGATGATGATGATGATGATGATGATGATGATGATGATGACAGCGATGATGATGATGATGATGACGATTACAGCGACGACAGTGATGATGACGACAGTGATGACGATGATGATGATGATGATGATGATGATGATGATGATAGTTACGAGGATGAGGATGAAGATTCAGATGATGACGATGATGACGATGAAAGCAATGATGAGGATGATGACGATGATGACGATGATGACGATGAGTATGATAGTTATGATAATGACGATGATGACGGTGATGATGAGGATGACGATGATGATGATGATGATCAAAAGAAATAAAGATGTGATGAATCTCTTAGTCTTTAATTTTGTAAGTCATGTTAACATTCTTACTTAACAAATGATTTTGTTATACTTTTTACAACAAAAAATGATTGCATTCTGATAATTTCTGTTTTTTTTTTTCTTTCCAGATCCATCTCAACTTGAATTCCATCCAAATAAAAAAATTATATTCTCCATTTTGAAAAGCAATCTCAAACAAATTTTAGGTAAAATAACGATGAAAATCTTAATATTTCAAATTTGAGATACTTATTAACAAACTTAAAATATATAAGACTGACATGACAAATGTCTTAGCTGACTTGTGTACTGTGAAACACTACCAGATAAAATAATTGTAAAATGTATCTTTGTTCAATTTTGTCCATGAATTGTCATCAGTATTAGGCGTTTTCAATCAGATCACTGTGTTGATCTCTATGAACTTTTCGGTGAGTTCCCCGAAGGCAAGTAGTAAAAAGGCTGTTGATTGGATGAAGGAGTGTGTCAAAGCGATGTACGCGATGATTATATTTATTTTCCTTAGATTGTAAATAAAATGATCACTTGTTATCATTATTTTTCATTTTTGTTTTGATTTTTACATCTGTAATTTCAACATGACAAAGATTTATTGCTTGTACATACCAAGTGACTTAAATGATGCAATCCGGAAAATACTAGAGAAAGGACCAATAATATTTGATGCATAGCATTACGAGTATAAATGAGTGAGGTAGAAATCTTATGCTAATATTAAAGAAATCATTTTGTATAAAACCTATTACTTGTGACATTAAACAAAAAGATTCATAGACTTTTAAACCTTCAAATGTTTCCTACAAACAAATCTAATGTTGGTGAGGGAACTGGAAGTGTTGTATGTAATATAGGAACAAAATGATTGGTCTACATTAAGAACATATTACAGAAAAATATGGCATAAAATCCTATTTATAGATATCACTTTCCCCATGATGTTCACCATATAGAGAAGAGTAAAACGTACATCAATAATGTAATGGGTGAAGAAGACAAACTGTGATCAAGTTCATAGATCCAGTAAACAAAAATCTTGAACAGGGCCAAAACACTGGCTCCTGAAAACATCAACCGTGGGATCAGGTGCCTTGGAGGAGTAAGCATTCCCTGTTGACTGGTCACACCCGCTTTGAGCCCATTATATTGATCAGGTAGACAAACTACTCCGTAGTCCAAGAGTAAAGGAACTTGTTGAAGAAACGGTAAAATATTCACTAATTTGTCAGTTCTGGGTAATGTTGATTATATTCAAAGCATGGTCTTAAGTATCAAATATTTGGGGAGACGTAAAAATCATATGCAGGTGATGCTGCATTGTTTCTGTATAATAAGTGAAGCTAACGATGGCAAAGCTGGAGTTTTAAAGTATCTAACAGTTAAGCTATTAATTGGCCATAATCCCTAATTGTAGGTACAACATCAAAATATGAGTCATGATCCGACAAGCAAATAATATGTAGTTCAAGTTTGCTTGGGTTAAATTGAGTCGACATACGAATAAAGGTAAATATTCTAATTGATAAAACGTCGTCGATTATTCTTAATTTTGAGAAGAAAGTTACAACAATTTTTTTTTAATTTAAAAAGAGCACTTATGAAATAACAACACATTTTTGGAAGAACTGTTCTCCAGAGGAAAGACTGCTTAGATTTTGCCGATCGTAATGCTCATCATTTAGGATCCCAACGATTCAACAAAAAAATTTTGCAGATGACTAACCACATGATACTAAGAAAATTGATTTTGAATTGCTGTTTACAAAATCTAAAAGCTGCTCTTTAATTTATGATAAAAAAAAATGTTCGTATAAAGCATAGAAAAATCATATACGTATTGATGCTAATGATGTTTAAAAAAGTTGTGGGATGTTAAATTATCTAAATGTTGGATATTTTTTCAATCCTTGTTTCGAATAATTTCCACCACTTTTCACCACTTCTTTAATATTTTTAAGTCTGAAGTTATCTTTTCTCGGCAAAATTACAAATCTTGACTGTTTTCCTTATTTCTAAACCAATCATATTAAGTCATTCTATGATAAACAAAAAAAGATATACAAATCGTAACAAATTGTAACATGTACATTCGAGGTGTCAACTGTATCTTTACTTGGTTTTTAATATCTAAATGTTTTTGAAAGCTTAAATTTGGTTTGTGATTCTCAATTAGAGAAGCAAGTCCTAAAATATCTAATGAAATATGCCTGGGGATCCAACGGTAACATGTTGACTCAAGACCCTTGATGAGAGGATGATAATAGTGAAGTTTCAAAGAAGTTTGGTATTGGTAGGAAATCTGCGTATTTACTTTATCATAAGAAATGCATACAGTGGCAGATGGAGAGGGGTTTCAGGCCTAGGGCATTGTTAAGTTTTTATTGATATTAATCGATGAATGATTGATTGATTATAATACATTGAAAAAAAAAGTATTTTTAAAAGTAAATTGACAGTATGAATAGATTTATCGACACAAAGAGATATACTTTATATTCTTGAATTAGTTTTGCTGCATTCAATACACAAACGTAGATCCATCATAAACTGACACAACAAAAGGAAACTATAATTGTAATTAAAATTTTAGAAATGACAGGTCATCACGATCTAGCATTACCTGACAATTTAATTAATTAGAATTAATATCAATATAATTAAGCTTTAATAATTAAAAAGGATTGTGCCTGCCACCAATCAGGATATAATGAAAGACACTCATTCAATCATAAAAAATAATGTTTGCCCAGTCGTGAATTTGCATTAACAGTTAGTTTCATTCCTCAACGCTTATCACATTTAAAATGTTCATTCATGTGACCTCAGTTTGTATGCTATAATGGTTAAATTATATAATGAAACATATGGACAGTACTGAAGATCGAAAGTCCATAAAACAATATAAATTAAAATAGAAGCAGAGCAAACACATATCCTCAAAATATATTTCAACCTTCCTTTCCTTAAAGGTAAGAAAGCTAGTTGGAAACTAGCAAAAAATAATCAAAAGGTCATGTTAGCACGCCAAGTGAAGAGTGAAGAGCATATCAATGCAGAGAAATGGCTTTATTTCTCCTCCTCCAGACACGTGAACCTATCTCTAGTCTTTTCTTTCCGTGTTTTTGACGTGTTTACCTTTCCATTTACTTACTGGATTCTATTATATTAATCAGTGTTTGTTGACTTCGTCTTTTACACTTCAAGAGTTAAAGACATGAAAAGTGACTCATATCTATCATTTGAATTTTATACGGTTTTTTTATTACATGTTATTCTTATAAAGTTTTTTTTTCTTTTATAATCCGTAGGAAATGCTTGGTATAACGCCTAAGCGTTTAAAATGAAAATTAACTCTTACAATATTTTAACATAAAAAGAAGAAAGTTTGTGGGGACGTGTTACTTACTTATTAATCATATGCTACTTAAAAAGATCTACGCATAAAGAAACAAGTATGAAAATGGGACGATTTACTGAAAGACAGTTCATTGGTGTGATGATTTTTTTAAATAAGCATCGAATATAAATGTATATAAAGGTTTTAATAAACTTTTGCATAAACTAAAGATGAGTACCGAAAATGCTTTCTTTTGTTGCAAGATTTGTCAGCTTTTGTTTATTGAGAAACGTAACTTTCGAGAATTTTTCATTAAAATTTCAAAATTGAGATGCCACCACTTGCCGGAGCAGGACAGCAATTTCGACCTGTACTTGGCACGTAGGTATTTTAACAGTTAGGGATCTTCGACGATCAACACCTTCTGTGACACAGACCCTCGGTTTATACGGTCTCATCCAATGCATTAGTCTCTACGTCCCGCAGTGGGATTCGAATCCATGACGTAGGGTTAATTTCTTACTCCCCTAGTCCATTACACTCCAATGCTTTAACCAATTTGCCATGTGGTGGCTAACTTAATTGTTAATAAGGGAATAAATATTGCACCTTATGCAGTATCTTTACAATGACAAGGGTCATAAATCAACACGTTGCCGTTGGATACCTTTTTAATTTCCTTCGTTATTCTGTGGTCGAAAAACGTAACTTTACATTATGTTCATCTTTAATTTGATTTTTTTTTTCTAATTAAAGATGTTAATTTTGTCAATCTTTCATATTCGTATATTCAGTGAAAGTATTCGAATATATTCGAATATTCGATTGATAAATGTGGAAATACATGTAACAAACAGTATTCGAGCTCAAAAGCCAATTAAACATTAAAAATAGGAGCGGAGCAAACACAGACCTCCAAAAAAATCAGAGGTGGGATCAGGTACCATGGGGGAGTGAGCATCGTTTGCCGACAGGTCAAACTCGCCGCGTGTTCCGTGTCATGTTCGGGAGAAAACGGATAAATCCGTCGACAACTCGGTGTGTAAATAATAGCTTAACAATCAGTATGAGAAGGTCAGTCAGCATTTGACTTAATGGTAAATTGTAGTTGCTGACAAGGTCATTGCATCGACCACAGAACTTACGAAATGACTAAACGACAATGCTGATATTCTTGCTTCATCAACTTGTGTGTCAATAACTTACCTTGTTTTAGAAACAGTTCATACCTACAACATACCCTTCCGTATCGAGATATACTCGTAAAGTCCGGTATGTAGGTGACATAGAGAATAATAAATACCCTCTGTCGATTTTTCCATGAAATCCTGGCTTACGATTGGTTGAAGTCTGTCACGTGAAGACGGTGGAGGGCCCGGTCAGTTGTAAAGGGTATGTATTATTATTACGTCACAAACACAAACGTTACGTATATATAGGCACATGATAAGCGTGATGAAGCATTTAGCAGAGAAAACCATATATAAACTACAGATAAAACGTAAATGTTTCATCGGTGGGGTATTGTGACGTCAGGCATATTGCATATGCAAAAATCCTGTATTTATTCCGCCTCGCCAGGTATGAAATTTACTAAAGGTATATTGTTGTCACTAAAAGAAGTATGTAACTAATAATACCCTTTCCATATCACATCTTGTATCAGCCCGAGCCACCAATATCAGCCAGAGGGCCGAAGGCAGAGGAAAGGGTATGTATTATTATGTTATTACATATTTAGTAATAAAATAGAGAACACATTAAGTTGTGAAGAAAATAATAGATAACTATGCACGGACTTCAATTCTTACAATGTACACGGTCTATTGTCTCATACAGTTTGGGTTTGTTTCTACATGTACTTCTATTTCAAATGTCCCTTATCCGTAATTGAAAATAATCTATTATTTGTCAATTAGATTATCCTTACATTCAAAAAGTTAAACTTAAGAGAATTATGTAACAACCAAAATATGTGTATGATCACAAGTACTGTTTTTTTAAAGGTTTAATTTACTAAAGGTGTAATATTGATCCGTATCAGCCCTGCAAATCCATATCAGTCGTGCAGGGCTGATACGGCTATTGTGACGTCAGGCGTATTGCATATGCAAAAATCCTGCATTTATTACTAAGTATGAAATAAAAAGGTTTATTATATGACTGAATAATTTCCATCTCCCTGATTGGCTGAGATCCAATTGTTTTAAAAAATACTATTTTGCAAATGAAAAATGACAATCCAGGTGATTACAAGGATTTTTTTCCTCTACATTGATCTAAAAATAGATCGGGAAATTCCAAATTGACACAAATTGTTTTGGAAAGCTATTTAAACGGCTATGACCTTTTTAAAAAATATTTTTATAAGTGTGAAAAATAGTTTTTTATGTTGTTGATTTTGGTAAAAATTTGTTATTTCAAATGTTCCAAAAGTTCCTTGCAAAATCTATCCTATATCCAAGATCTGCTTATATATATTTTTTTTCATGACATATATTGTTTCATAAAAAAAGTGGTAAGTTTTTCCATTCTAATTCTGTTCTCTCTTATTTGGCTAGGACTTAATTAAATGCAAACAGGTAATAAGCTGTATAATTTATCAGTGAATCATATAATAAAACAATTATTGTATATTTGTTTGTAAGGATTTTATGAAGTTTCGGAATCCAATTTAGAAATGACAAGAGAAAGAGGTTTGGTCGAACATTGAATAATAAACTGTGTCATTACAAATATGTGTCATCCTACTCTCATGCCGGGTTTTGTATCTTATCTGGAAGTAATATCGAATGTGGACCGTAGGGTACAGTGAGGAATTTTACATTTGATAATTATTTGTTACTATTTACAAAAATGATTGATTAAAGTGTATACAACCAGGATTTAATTTCAACAAATGATATCTACAGAAGCTCATGCTTCATATGCAGCAAGTTGTCTAAAATTGTTTTACGCGGTGTAGATTGAAATATATATCATGAATCATAATTTTGCTTATTAAGAGATATGATTTTTTTTTAATCTTTGACATTCGTATACCAAAACAAATCAGCAAAAAAATATCTACAAGTATTTAGAAGAAAATGCGGAAATCACGTTAAAATTAAGAGGGTCGTTTTCCTTACCTGATTTGTAACTCAAATTATGTACAAGATATACTCACGTTCCAAATATCAGCTCAATATTTGAAAGAATTCAGAAAAGTGTGAAAAACAGTTAGGACAGATTGAGAGACAGAATGAGACAGGCGGACAGACGAGAAGGAAACATATAGTCCCCTCCGGATTCATCGGTAGTGGACCAATAATGAGCCTTATAACAAAATTGTTAAAAACATTATTCATGTTGGTTCTCTTGCAAATTTTTTATATATTTTTTTGTATACATGACCTTTATAAGATCATGCTTGCATTGATCAACATTCTTAATTAGAATGCTAGTAAATGTTTCTTATCTTAAGAAACACTCAGCTACTAACTGTTTCTAATACTGCATACTGGTTGGCATTGTTACATTTAGTGAATAGACTCGTTCTGTGCCGATGTCACAATTACACACAGTTAAAAATGGTCATTAATAGTCATGGAAATGAAAATGAAATGTACATCACATCCTACATTCATGTTCATGTTGAGTCACTATTGTACTTGCAGTAGGTCCTCAACAAAACATATTCAAAGAAGAGAATTGTGTAATTTAATAAGTAATGTTTGTAATGCAATGAAATTCAGTAGCGGTAATTGATTCATAAATAGTAAATGTAAGTTGTTGATGAGTTGAATGTTGTGATCATAAAGAAGAGAATTGCTCTGTGACGTTTTTAGCCGGGCTTATTGCTCAAAGAGCAATTGCCGGCTTATGTGATCCTGTTCAAGGCAGGATGTTGAGCCATTTTAAAGTTACGTGCAAAAATATAGTTCTTACTCTCAACCGCTTTTGAAAACGCTAAATAAAGCAACAAAAATAAAACGAAGTTTTATCTATATAAAATAAACATTAGTAGTAATGTTTGAAAATTTCATAAATCAAAGAACATAGTTCATTAGCGTAAGGATTTTTGATAATCAGTGTTACCGTAGTTCTCTACATGTACGAGGAAAAGCAGGAGAGGGAACCAGACTGGCCTGTTTGTTTACATTTTTTAATTCTGATTCTGACACAGTGTTTATCAATATTGAGTTTTAAAATAATTTTTTCATCAGAATATAAACGTGATTCATAATTTTGGATACTTTGATATTTTTTAGCTGACACATGTTACAAAGTTTGTTTATAATTTTGGATACTTATGGCGAAAATCATTGTATTGAATCTTTACATCTTTACAAAGTTCATTGTTCTTTAATATATTCAACTCCCACTGAAAACGACGAGATCTACATTTATTGCTATTTAAATAAGAACCACCTGAATTGCTTGACTAAGGTCTTAAAACTTTAAAGAATCTTTTGAATTCTAGAGTTACCCCAAAGGGAAGAGGTTAGTCCCCACCATATAAAAACAAGAAATCTTTGTTGACTTAAATCATTACAAATCTGAGTTTTCATAGGAAAAATAACACCCGCTTATCTTTTCACGTAGTATTTGCAGTTAAAAGAGGCGAGTGTGTACCCATCGCATTATGTGCATTAAGACAGCTGAATGAGATGTCACTATAGAATTCAAGAAATATCTTATTCCTTTTATAAACATTCTAATAAATAAACAAAACTAGTCCCCGATTTCATTTCATGGGCCATTTTTGATTTGGGATTGAGAAGAAACAGTATATAGGGGAAAACAGTAACTTAATTCATCCATACACAATGGAAACTGCACAAATCATTATAATCGTACTAATCATTTCTGGGATTGTTTGTATTAGTGTGTCTTTAGGGACGGGTATTATGAGCTTGTTAGAAGATTATTGGATAGATTATGCCTATAGCACCACTGTATCGACCACCGTGTCAGGTCTGCCCGCCACGGTGGTGGCTGTGGCCAAAGCCAACATCGGCCTGTTTACTACCTGTTATAACATCGATACGACAACCACCGTCAGTACAGGCTTCAGTACGATCACCACCAACCAGAACTCTAATGCCTGTGTTGGCTCTGAAACCACAGGTTACATCAGCAAAGGTTTGTGCAAATGATTCTAACTTTGTGCCCTGAAAAATTCATTTTGTCCATTGCTTGACCATTGATGAAAGATAATACATATCAATTTGCAAGACTAAAAACCACCCGACTATTAAACCAATCATTTGAAGAAAATTATATTAATATCGCAGACACTGTTTCTGATACAGGGCTAAAAATGTCTTATTTCATTTTTTAACGTTTCTATAGATGTCTCACATATGCAGCACTGAATGATACACTCGTGCAATTTGAACTATAGAAAGACAAGAGCTTGTAATCTTAACTCACTTTTTCTCATTTTGTCAGTATGAATTTTCTGGTCTATTTGCAAATAAAACATTCTAAAGACTCTGTAAGTAATTATTAAAAAATTTTGGGATAAAAATTCTATTAACCCCTTCCATGGCAAAGATTTTAAGCATTTCTAGACAAATTCATATTAAGATTTCAATGCATTTTTTCGGGAATTTCTTGTAATTTTTGTATATACCAATGTATATATATTCTGAAAGCAGGTATTGTGTAGTTTCCGAAAATGATTATAAGAATATAATTTTAGTTGCCATGGCAACGAAATGCACAATAATCATGCTTGAATTCCCATTTATTCAAGAATGAGTTTCATTTTGGTTTTCCTTTGCTCAGTTGAATATATTTAAAAATAGTGTATTATTGTGTTGAAAATTATGAGCATGTTGTACATTTTTTTTATTAAATCAAATTTAAAGTATTCTAGAGAAATGGGGTAGGGTTGGTAGGTACATGTAGTCACCAGAATTTAGCATTTTTACATATTAGATGTTACCACCGCATTGATTTCGATAATGGCAAACATCGCTCGAATAGTGCACAAAGTTTAAGTCAAGCTAGCAAAATACTGGTACAACCAATAAAAATTTTCTGTACATTATTTTATTGTAATTATGTTTTCTTTCTAACGGTGCAAAAATTATTCTGATATTTGCAGTATTAACGAAGTTATGAATGTTTGAACACAATAAACTCGCTTTTCAAATCAGATGCGTAGAAATGCGTATATGCCATGGAAGGGCTTATCATGGATTTTTTTTTTTATTTTAAATATATTGCAATTTAGAACTAAGAAGAAAACCACTTTTTTATCGCAACACTTCTGTCCTCACTTACAGTATTAACGACAAGCGTTTCATAATAAGCAGATTCATACTAACATAAAAAACATCGAAAACTTTTCGTAACCAAATCTTTATTTCAATTCTTCACACGTTTCAAATTTTTATTTTTAAAAAAGTTCAAGGTTTTGAAGAATTTGAACAACAAAAAATGAAAATCTTGTAAACGATAAAAAAATATATTATTAGGCCATTATTTTATTCCTTAAATTGTCTACGATTTTTCCCTTTATGACAAGGAGCACGAAGCAGGTTTTATCCGTTAACAGGGAATGAATACTCCTCCTAGGCACTTGATCCCATTTCTGGAATTTCCATGGATCCATGTTTATGTTCTATTTACAGATTGATACGGTTAAGAGAGATTTTTAGAACTCGCACTATTTTTAGCTTTACCTTTTTCATACTAACCAATAGTAATAGTCAATTGAAACGATACAAATTGTAAGCAGAGCAAATACATACCTCTAAAACATCTTAGATCAAATTAGATACCATGAATGAGTTAGACATTTCCTGTTCACTGATTACATTCGAGGATGCATGCTTTTTGCAATGTTCGGGGAAAATTCGTAGATAATTCATTGCAAAAATTATGGCCTAACAATTTGTAAATTGTTGGGAAAAGTCTGTCAATAATTGAATTAACGTACATGGAACACTTATTTGCAAATACGGTCATTGTATCAACCATGCATAGACTTTACAGAATGTTGACCTCATTACAGACACCTGATATCCTTGTATCATCAACTTATTTGTGAAAAGTTTTTCTCGTTCTTGAAATTGTTTGTAAAGAGAATATGCTATTGTACATCAAATCATATCGGAAACTCTAATTTTATAATATAAGAATATTTTGCTACATAAATATGAGAAAAAGAGATAGAAATGTTGAATTCATCAAGTGAATTTATTTGTTTGCCATTTTTTTAATATACACATAAGAAACAGGTTTAATTTGTCATCCTCTCTGATGTCTTCCACTTCAATGGGAGTATACAATAATACATGCTTTATCAATGTGCCATGGGTAAATAGTTTATACTTGTATTCGTCTTAATTACATATCAGTTTAGTTTTCAATGCGTTTCAAACCATGGGGTAAGAAATTACTTCGCTCAAGTGTTAGAAATTATAATTTTGTTGTTTTGGCTCACTTATTTTATACAAATTGAGGCCTTTCTTTATTAAGTGAAGACTACGAAATATTCCGTCTATATGATTAAAACCAAGGGCTTAGGTTAATTGTAAAAGGGATTGCTTATTCCATCTGAACACCTGCATCCCACCGCTGGAATTTCTGAGGGATCTGTGTTTTATGTCCTGTTTACAGATTTGTATTGGTTGAAGAGTACTGTGCAACAATATATACTGAAAGGAAAAAGAAACGCATAGTAAACTTTTGAATTTAATTATAACAATACTTTCGCATATGCTTTCCAGTAATGTCAATTTAATTTATCTTTTATCAACAATTAACAAAATCTTGTGTGACTTGTGTGAATTTGACTGATAATTCATGTTATTGGAATTGATATAACGATACCCCCCCCCCTCCAATTTTTTTTTAATTCTCAACATCTCCCTTGCACATCAGTAAAAGCCTTGATTCTCCTGTGCATTGAGTTCATCAGAACATTTATCTTTCTCATAGGGTTATTATTATTCAACCCTTCCAACGGTAGTCTTAATGGTTGAGAGAAGCCGTAACATTCTGAAGCCAACAAATCCCCTCGCCTATGAATCCCACGAATTTTTGATTTAGGATAGAATTTACAGGATCCTGCTGGTTTGGTACACGTGAATGTTTGTAAGAAAGTCTCGATAAACATTGGCTACAGTTTCCCAGTGTGAACATCTAAAAACGTTACGCATACGACGCATGCGTGCGTGTGTGAGAGTGAAACAGTTGCCAAGCTCTCGGACTAAATTAGAAAAGAGAGTTTCTGTCAATTTTAGGGTGAATGTTACGAGTTTGATTGCCTACAGTATAAATATCGGTTTCAGTGATAATGCCTAAATGTTTAACTAAGACGGCATGAGGAAAAATCCTATCTTGATGTAACATTGTTACGAGCTAACGTCACCGTTTTGGTTGGTTGGAAACCTTTTAAGTTACTCTCTGACCGAGAAAAGCTTTTTTGGTTGAAAAGTTAAAATCAAACTACACAGCAACATGTTGTTGCCTTTTTATTCGCTTATGCAATTCAAATACTAGACCCAATGTAACTTCCGTCAGTCATACCATGATTGCAAGAAATTTATATTGACTGCAAATATGCAAAAACAATGTCTATAACTCTACTGCATCGTTTGGCACTACAAAATGTGATCACCAAATTGTCATCGTCAATATGCGCGTGTTTTTGGCTTTTTATCACTTTCCAAACGTGACGCCATACATTTCATGTGTCATGTTGTAAATTTTGAATTTACCGAGTGGCAGTAGATACAAAATTTACAAGTTGTCATGTTGTAAATTTTGTATCTACTGCCACCCGGTAAATTCAAAATTTACAACATGACACATGGTTGAGTAATTTTGACCACAGATTTTAGTGCAAATTAACCAAAATACACATCTTACAAATTTTCATAATTTTCGGCCAATAGTTAAAAAATATTCGCACATTATGCTCTCATGCGTTACTTTTTCCTTTCAGCATACATGTATTCGAGAAGTGGTGTAAATCACATGTGGATACTTAAAAATGCCAAGGCACTTTTGGAAAATTTGAAATCACAAAATTTTACCATAATCAATAGATTAAAAACTTACGAATTTTCAACTTTATTCACAACCATTCCCCACGATATATTAAATTCCGGGATTTTTGATTTCATTGACAGCTGCTTTTTCAATAAAAAGGGAACTCGTAAATTAACTTACCTTGCCATTGGTCATTTGCCAAATTATTTTTATTATAAAAACATTATACTACATTATATTGTACACAAAACTACTCTGAAGTTGACATCAAAAAGATGCTAGAGTTTCTGAGTGGTAAAATCTTTGTCGTTTTTGGAGACTAGGTCTTTCAACAATCTACTGAATTCCCGTGCGTACCAATAGCGCCTTTTATAAGCAGACCTATATTTGTATTCATATGAAGCAGAATTTGTCCAAAATCTTACAGGTGAAAAGAAAAGACTTGCTAGGGCCTTCAACTCAATATTTAGATATATCGACGACGTATTGTCAATTAACAATGGTTATTCCCATTCTTATGTCGATACGATATATCCTGATGAGCTTGAAATTAAAGATACCACAGAGTCTGACAAAATATGTTTCATATTTGGGTATTTTACTTGAAAAATTAAGGCCGTTCCAAGTTTTTTTCTATGTTTAGCGTCCGCGTGCGCCTTGGTTTTTGACACCCCATATCAGAAAAAAAAACAACATCAGGAGTCCTGAAATTGATTAATTTAGTTGATTTTGTTTTTTTACTTTTGTCAATTTTCTCCAAATAAGTCTGTATATTATGTCATATTGGGTGTTTTTAAGCATTTAATGTCTTCGTTTTGCTAAAGAATAAATATTTCTTCTATTAAAGCACTTTAGTGAGATCAAATCATTTGAAGGGCGTCATTTTTATGACTTTTAAACATCTGTTTTATGTTTTGGCTTGTGTGTTTTTTGCAAATAGGTAGATAGGTTTTTGAAAGATGGGTGGACGCTAAATTGAGAAAAAAACTGGAATGGCCAAATGGTAATTTAACAAAGCTCAATGATAATTTGATGAGTTTAACTTTTCAATAATCAACTTAACTTACCAATGCAGCAATATACCTTCATCACCTTCATCATCTGCGTAAAGAGTTTATATCTCTCGGTTGATT